AGAAACCTGTATTGAATGGCTGAATAAAATTTCTAAACTTGACTATGTGGCTCAAGATATCTTATTGAGTGATGCAGTGTGAGAGATGCTGAGAGAGTAGCTTGAGGAATGAATCCACTTTTTATGCAAAATGCTTGATGAACCACTCCTTTTTTTGTCCCCCTACCACAACAATGGACCCTTCCATGGCCCCAGGTGAATGACCTCCTGTGGTGATCACATGATCACCTGTTCAGGTCAAAACAACAGCAAAGGAACGAGACACCGAGAGGCCATATCTTAGACATAATACAAGTCTGACATTAAGCAAGGACAACAGCAAAGCATTCCCACCTAGACATTAATCTAATGTCTACATATCACAATCTTTTATAAGAACTGTTGCTGCTACAACAAGTTCCCAGTTACTGTGAAGATGTCAGTGTCAGTCTTGTTCAGCTATCTGGATATCCAGACGTGCCTGATCCTGGGGTCTGTGTTCCTGCTGGCCTGTTGGTACCTGAGGACCAGGACACCCCCCAACCTCCCACCCGGGCCCTGGGCACTGCCTGGGCTGGGCAACGTGCTGCAGATGTTTGCAAAGGTGAGTTTATTTACGAAGCCTCTCAGACCTTATTGACACACACACACATTAATTCAGGACCCTCCCACAACTTTGCTCCCAACCACCGTCCCCAACCAAAGTTCGGTGGTGGGTTAATTGGGAGTAGGCTTAGTATAATAGTTTATTGCAAATTCATGCCTGAGGGCTAATGCTTTGCATTTTTTTCTGTGCTCCTAGAGTACATGGTGCAGGTTAAAAATTTGTCTGTGTGCAGACAATTTTTAATGAGGGTCTGCATGGTCTTATTTGTAAGGCATAATCATACCTTTTTGGTCTTTACACTTATCTGTAGGCAGCTGCCCAAAATCAGTAATGCATATCCGATTCGGTACATTTAGCAGTAACATGAAATTGTTCGTAACCAGCATTGAGAATTTGTTATCAATTTTGATTTAATTGTTATCACTACATACGTACCCCATATGCAGGCCCTATATAATGCTACCTGCTACAGTGCAGGTATAGAATTTTATGCAGAACAAATATTTTATGTTGCAATCACCACACCTGTCCTATACTGTTTTTACTAATAATGAAATTATTATACTGTTTTGGGTGGCTGATTTGTAGGTTATATGTTGTTGCAGGCTCCATACCTGATGTGGACAGAGCTAGGTCGTACGTACGGCCCTGTGATCTACCTGAGACTGGGCAGCCAGCGGATTGTAGTCCTGAACAGCTACGCTGCCGTCCACGAGGCTCTGGTCAGGAAAGGGGAGGACTTCTCCAGCAGACCTGCCTGGTACACGTTTCACCTCATGGACTTTGTAGACTATGGTAAGTATTTGGGTGCCAGTTTACAGAATACAACATACTGTATCAGTTTACAGAACACACTATCAGTTTACAAAACACATTATTGGTTTACAGAATAGTTTACTGAATACATTTATTATTTGAAAGGCACAGTATCAGTTTATGGAACACTATCAATTTACAGAATGCAGTGTCAGCTTTCAGGGGCTTAAGTCAACGTACAATCTGTAGAATAAAATATAAGGTTGAGATATCAGGAAAATGTTTGAATATTTACAGACTACTTGTGATTGCAACTTGGCAAGCTAGAAGAATACAAAATAATGTACGAAATGATTTTTCAAGCAAAAACTAGGCCACGCCTGTCTAATAGTATTTCATTTAGACAACATCGATATCTTCTTGGTAGTCCTTCGTTGTCAAAGAGGACTGCCAGTGTGCTCATTCACGGGGGATGTGCCCTATTTAGACAATTATATATTTAGACAACGTATATACTAAGTCATTTTATACATTTTATCTATTATGTTACTGTGAGTTTTTATTTTGTCATTTACAATCAGCCTTTGGGCATTAATTTAAAGAAAAAAAATATCATTATTGTGCAGGAATAGTCATGCTTCCCTACGGACCATTCTGGAAGCAGCAGCGCAAGTTTACCATCATGGGTCTCCGAGACTTCGGCTTTGGGAAACGCAGTTTGGAGGGGAAAATCCTGGAGGAAATACAAGGGCTACGGGAGGAAATACTCAAGAAGGGAGAGAAGCCGTTCAGCATCAGGCTTCTGCTACAGAACGCAGTTGGTAATGTCATCTGCTCCATAGTACTTGGCAAGCGCTTCGAGTATAATGACAAGAAGTTTGAAAAGATCATGAAGGCTTTTGATCAAAATGTTGGTTTTGAACAACAAGTCGCATCCATAGCAAACTTTTTCCCATGGGCACGGCACATTCCAGTGGTGAAAAGAGCTATTGCCAAAGTACAGAGCAACTTGGAAACCTGCCTTTCTGTCATGCGAGAAGACATCGCTGCGCATAAGGAAACGTTTGACCCCAACGACATACGAGACTTCATCGATACATTTCTGCTGGAGATGAGGAACAAGGTTTGTAATCATTTGTCAATGTCTGTAAGTTAACTAGTCTGATGAATTGTGCTAAAATTTGCTCTAATTGTATGTAATAGTTTGCTTAGAATGGTTTTTTCCTGCTGTTAATTTGTGTCAGGCTCAGTTTCAATCAAAATGCTATTATATTAAGTTATGGTATTGACTGTAATCTTATTGAAGATAAACCAGTTGTTCATTCATTCATTTTTCCATCCATCCATCCATCCGTTCGTCCGTCCATCCATCCAACCTTCCATCCATCCATCCATCCATCCATCCATCCATCCATCCATCCATCCATCCATCCATCCATCCATCCATCCATCCATCCATCCATCCATTCAATAATCATTCATTCATTCATTCCAGGAGGGAGAAGAAGGAAGTGACTTCACAGACAGACAGCTGGAGTACCTGATAGGAGACCTTTTCATCGCTGGAACAGAGACCACATCCAGCACCCTAACCTGGGCCCTCCTGTACATGCTGCGACACCCTGACGTACAAGAGAAAGTGCACCAAGAGATCGACCAAACCATCGGGCAGAACGTCACCCCGTCTGTCAGCCATCGCAGCCAGCTGCCCTACACAGAGGCCGTCCTCGCAGAAGTTATGCGAATTAACCCCCTTGTTGCGTCTGGCGTCATGCACAACACGTCACACGACACCACCCTGTTTGGCTACGACATACCGAAAGACACAACTGTGTTCCCCAACCTCTGGGCAGTTCTGCATGATCCCGAGGTCTACCCTGAGCCGGATGTCTTCAAACCTGAGAGGTTTCTGGACGACAGCGGTCAGTTCAGAAAGGGGGACAACTTTATTCCATTCTCTATGGGTAAGTTCATGGAAAAATTACTTCATGTACATACAAGTATATGATGACATCACAATTACAAAACTAAATAGTTCTCACCAGGATTTTTTCACACTGCTAGTGTAGGGGCATCTATGAGATAGAGTATGGAATGAGTCAAAGACACACTCAATTTACACTATCAGTGGGCTAGCCCCCTGCCGTTAGTAATGCTTGCACAACTGTGTGGTCCAAGGGCTACAGAAATGGAGATAGGCACTGCCCCTATGCTCTGCATGGAGTGGAAGGGGTCATGGACATACTAGTAATAGTATATCATCACAATATCATAAATGCAGGGTTCTCACCAGGACTTTTTTTACAGGAGTGTAGTGGCCTTTAGACTAGAGCTTATTTTAGGGAGCAAATTTTGTACAAAAGGGACTAACTATGTCTGGTCCTAACATCAGATAACGCTGTAGAGAGGCAAGATGTAAAAGGAGGAGTGGTCCAATCTCTGCCATTCTTGAGAAACACAAATCAAGTTGAAACCAGTCGAATTTTGTCTCAGTGCTGTCATTTTCCCAAAGTTACAAATGATATCACATAACGTTGTCTTCATTCTGAGCTCTGTACTATTGTGTTGGCAGGTCGGCGTGTGTGCCTGGGGGAACAGCTGGCCAGGATGGAGCTGTTCCTGTTCTTCACCTCCCTCATGCAGCACTTCACCTTCAAACTGCCAGGGGGCGCCCCTCTACCATCCACCACGGGAAAAGTCGGGGTCACAAATACGGCCGAAGATTTCGATCTTCATGCCATTCCAAGGGAGTAGAAAGTTGAACTGACTGACCTAGATCATGTTATTATTTATCACATTATTGCCAACTTAGGGTTACTTTACTGTATTTATATGTATAATTGCATTTTGTTTTAATTTACTATAGTCTTTTTTACGGTTACGGTTACTTTAGCCTATCTGTTTATATGTAATTGCATTTTGTTTTATTTGACTATACTTGATTCGTGTTTAACTTAAATTTACTTTTTTTCAAATCGTATATTAACTAAATTCTTATAATACTAAATCGTAAATGCTGTATGATTTGCATGATCCACCCTTCATATTGCTCGAATGTATATACATGCACACGTATTAACCAGTTAACACAGTTTTGTCACTCAAGCAGTACATGTAAGTAACTAAAAACTGTGTAAGAAAATGTGGTGTGCCAAAATATCATTATAAATTTTCAACTTACTTATAATACTAGAATTCCGAGACCTCATACCTCCATGAAATATGATCTTGATATGTAAATGTAAATTTCTTCTTTAATTGTTCAAATGACCTCCGCATTAACATGATATATGCATCGTGATGTATGTTAACTTTTGATTAACTTACAGATGTCCCAAGTATGACATTCTCATCATTCACCATTACGAAATCATAGAATTTTCACATTAATTATGCAAATTAGGTCATCATTTGCATAATTAGTATCTGTTGAAGTTCCGCCTGCCATAGGTTACATAGTATAATGTAAAACACTGTAATTATAGAATTTCCTCATTAATTATGCAAATAAAGTCCTCATTTGCATAATTTACATTTAATTATGTACATATCTCTCTCAGCTACCTACACACCAAAAATAATGAAAATATGTTGTTCCTGTCTGGACTTATTGGCTTTTAAACATTTCGCCAGAAAGTGCCCTGCAGTTCCAGAACAAGCCGCTAGGGGGCCCAAACTTATATGACTTCTTCCCAAGCACGAGAGCTACCTTCCATCAAAATTTCATGACCCTAGCATGTCCAGATCGCGAGATAATGTAAACACTGTAATTATAGAATTTCCTCATTAATTATGCAAATACAGTCTTCATTTGCATAATTTGCATTTAATT